ATCTTCTATGTTTGATACATTTTTTTATAAACATTAACATATGTCATATATCATCAAAAAGTTTATTAATAACTACCTAACACAATTCCTTTTTTCTTATTTAGAAATTATACACCACGAATTATTATATTATCCATTACCACATCCACAAAAAGTACTGATATCACACCAACAATCCATTTGATTTACTAACAGGTAATGTTATATGCACCTTTTTATATTAAAATTATGTTAAACTATTTGTATTAGACATGTAAAAAGTAATTCTTGATGTTGATGTGTGTAAGGAAAAATTAGTAAATAAGAGTGCATGTAAAGATGCATTTAGCCCACCTCATTTCCAATGCATTAGATTTATCAAACCCCTGATTTTTTTAATAAACTTGTGTCACATTAACCATTTTCGCCTACAAATCACTTTAGCAATTCATTTGGTATTACCGTAGCAAGCAGACTGGTGTAAATTTGGGGAGGGGGTCAACGGTAAGTTGAGAAACCTTCTCAATACTCCATAAATAAACACGAATAGTTACTACATTAAGGGGTTGTTTACCAAATTTTTTATTAAGTCTTATATGAATAAATGAGTGTTGTTTATTACTTTTTTTATCTGAACCAACAGTCTGAATAACATAAATGACCGATTTACCCCCCAATATTAATTATGTGAACATAAAAAAAAAAATCATAAAGAGGCCGATGATGAGGTGTCTCGTATGGGAAGGAGGTGGTGCTTTAAATAAGGGGTAGGGGTGTCATTTTTGTGGCTGAATGAGGATAATCATACCATTTTTATCTGTGCTATTAAGCCATGTTCTGTGCGAATAAGCCGTAAGTAAACAACCCAAATGAGCTGTGCGAATAAGCCAGATAGACCAATAAGTCTAATTAAGCCGCAAGTAAACATCCCTTAACTGAAGCTGGATATGTTAAGTTTGCTATTAATGAGCCGAATTACAATTAAAAAAACATACAAGTTATAGCAGTTTTCTTGCCAATCATCTGTTATAAAAATAGGGAAGAAATGAAAACAAGATCTCCCCTGGTAATTGTAAGAAGTAAGCCAAATTATATGAATCTTACCAAGACTAAGTTCGAACATGGCAGAATGGAGAAGATGACAACGACAATAAAAAGAGGGCGTTGGGACATCACATCACACTCCCATGCACATGGCTGACCGAGTAAAGGTTCATGCACTGGTCGGATTGCGGTCTTACTCATGAGTCACGATAGTATATCAACCGGAGGTGTCTCATAGAGTCATATCTGAATCCTTTTTAGGGGGTTATGAAAACTAACAAACATTATGAATGGATTGCCGAGTTCAAAATCTCACAAACCTAACTGTTTTTAGGAAGAAAAACGAAGCCCTGTTGGTTATTGCAAAACCCACGTCTTTGATAACAAAAGGAAATATGTGGTTAATTTACGTTTAAATTTTACATTTTCGTCAATGTTGTGATGTATTTACTGAAAAACACTGACTCTTTTTTTTTTACTTCTATTTAATATCTAACAAAAAAAGCATTCCAAAACTGTTAACTGATAAACATTTAATTCTTAACGAATAAACTATCATTATGATCATATTAGAAGGGTACTCACACAATGCAGCGAAATAAATTTTTATTTTAATGTTTCGTTTTTTTTTCCTCAGTTTATGTTATAATACAGTTTTATGTGGTTTTGAGAAAACGGTAATATTTTTATTTTTGAATAAAATCTAAATATCATAAGAAATTGAAAAAAATATTGAAGTACCAAACTGACTATTTAAAACTTCTCATTTTTTTTGTATTTCTTTAATTCATTTTTTTTATTTTTGGTTTAATAATATAGTTTTTATAAAAATAATAATTAAATATTTTGTAAGAACTCAATGATTATCTTAATTATATTTAAGATTTTTTATATTTAAAATAAGATGATTATCCTCTATTTGATTATGTTTATCTACAGTTAGTTACATAAATTTATACATGAAACTTTAATAAGTTGTATTTACACACAATTTACTTGTAATCTTAAATTTTAAGTAATATTCATAAATAAACATATTTCATACATAAAAAATAGTTTTTAAGAATTTTTTATCAAATATTGTCATGTCTAAAACCACAATTAAAAACAAGGGTTCCTCAACTGCTAAATTTTCTGACATATTTGTTTACATTTTACTAACGAGTCATTTACCAAACACTTACTCGATAAGCGCTTAAAGGTAAAATTTTATATTATCACTTACTTATCGGGTAAGATTTTAGTCAACAAAAGCAACATCTTATACAATAATTTACCCGGTAAACACTAACCGTAGTAAGTCATCACTCTCACTTATCCGGTAAGACTCTTGGATCTTGTCTCGCTCTTATTGGGTAAGATTCTTAGTCCTTACTATATTCATCTCATAAAATAATGTGACTTGGTTAACGTTTACCCGATTAAACGTTTGGTAAACGACCCCTAAAATCATGTAATTATTTTTTATTTTGATTAAATTTGATTATAAAATATGAGCAAATCAATGGATCCAAGACATAAAGTTTATTTTTTTAATTAAATAATAAATATATAGAAATGGACCAAATTCTTAAGCACGTCTCGAATACGTATATCAAATCTTATTTAATAAACATATCGAATTTTGTATTTGAAATGGTTTATAAATAGTAAAATATTAAATTTAATATCACATTATTTATTTGTATTTTTCTATTTAATGTTAAAAATAGGGTAAGAGATAAAAAAAAATACATCATTTTAATATAAAAATAATATTGATGGTAATCTGTATTTTTTAATTTTTTTTTATCTATACTATATTATAAAACATTTGACAAAAACTCTAAAAAAATAGTTTTTATGGATAAAGTACTGTTTATTAATGTATGTTACTTAAAACTCAATACTACAAGTAGATTGTGCGTAAGTACAACTTATTAAAGCTCCATATCTGAACTCGTGTAACTAACTGCAGATAAACATAATCAAACTAGAAGGGTACTCGCGCAATGCAGCGAGATACATCTCGATTTTAATGTTCTATTTTATCCTTTGTCTCTGTCGATATTATAATACGATTTTATGTGTTATTAAGAAAACAATAATGATTTTATTTTTGAATAAAATATAAATTTGAAGATATCATAAAATTTTGAAAAGAAGTATAGTTAAGTATTCTGTTATAACTCAATGATTATCTTAATTATATTTTAGATTTTTTATATTTAAAATAAGATATTTATCATGTATTTGATTATGTTTATCTGCAGTTAGTTACACGAATTCAGATATGGAGCTTTAATGAGTTATACTTACGCACAATCTACTTGTAATCTTGAGTTTTAAGTAGCATGCGTTAATAAGCAGTACTTTATGCATAAAAAATGATTTTTAAGAGTTTTTGTCAAATGTTTTATAATATAGTATAGATATAGGATAAAGATCTCATTTTGAATATAAAAAATCTAAAATATAATTCAGATAATCATTAAGTTCTAACATAATAATTAATTATTATATTTATAACAATGTTATATTATTAAACCAAAAATAAATTATTTCGTTATTAAACTTAAATTATATATTAAAAAAATAAATTAAAGAAATTACATAAAAATGGAAACTTTTAAATAGTTGATTTGATATTAACATTGATCTATTTTTTTTCTAATTTTATGAATTCTTCCAATTTATATTTTATTCAAAAATAAAATTATTATTGTTTTCTTAAAAACACATAAAATTGTATTGTAACATCGACAGAGACAAAAAATAAAATAGAACATTAAAATCGAGATGTATCTCACTGTATTGCGCGAGTACCCTTCTAGTATAAAAAAACCGATAGTAAAGATAATTGAAATGTTTTATGCTTCTTAAAAAGGCCATCCAACCTTAACAAAGATAAATGAGATTTTTACAATTATATAGATAGATCAAACTGGAAACTTCAGTTAAGAACCTGATTTTCGTTGTGAATTGAGGGATAATTGAGAGCGTGATACGTGTTTTATTAATCATGAACAATTGACGTGAATTTTTTTATAATATTCACGATGAATATCTCGTGGTCGTAGACACGTAACATGCTTTCAATGATCCCTTGTTTACAACAAAAATCTGGCTCACACCTGCCTGTAATTATAAATTACTAGAAGGGTACTCGCACAATGTAGCGAGATACATCTCGATTTTAATGTTTCGTTTTTTCTTTGTTTCAATCGATGTTATAATACAATTTTATGTAGTTTTGAAAAAGCGTAATGTTTTTATTCTTAAATAAAATATAAATATGAAGATATGATAAATTTTTTTTTGATATTAATAGTAAACTAACTATTTAAAAAAAATTTCTTTTTTTATGTATTTCTTTACTTATTATTTTTATCTTTGGTTTAATAATATAATTTTTTTTATAAGAATAACAATTAAACATTTTGTTAGAAGTTAATAACTATCCTAATTATATTTTAGATTTTTTATATTTAAAATGAGATTTGTATTCTTTATTTAATTATGTTTATCTGCAGTTAGTTACATGAAACTTTAATATACGCACAATTTACTTGTAATCTTGAATTTTAAGTAATGTGCATCAATAAACAGTACTTCATATATAAAAATAGTTTTTAACAGTTTTTGTCAAATGCTTTATAATACAGTATAGATAAATGCTTTATAATACAGTATAGATATAGTTAGAATATTATCAATTCTATTAAAAACACTGGAAAAAAATCATTATTTTATCTTTAATTTCAATCTAATTGGTGTTTAATTCAAATGATTCAAAAGGAACAAATATTTTGGATTGTCCAAAAAGGAAATTCATTAATTAGTTTTTAAAATTAATTATGAACTTAAAATGGTGGCATCAACTGTTCTTCAAAAAATATCCCATGGTCTTGTTTTCTCATTGTCGATCTTGAATCACATATAAATACAGTTGAACTTTTGGCGTCTTTTACGTGCATTCCATTACTTTCCAGTCTTTCAATTCGACTCAACTCAACCCAAATCTTTTCCTTTTTTTTCTCTCTCGTTTAATCTTCCAATTCTTTTTCAAGAGAATCAAAACACGCCTCTTTCTCGACCCAACAATTCTTGTTTTGGTGGGCTGGAATTCGAATCTGGGCATCAGTCTTGAGATCAAGACTCGATAACCTGGCTACCCATTAGCTCAATTTCATAATTTATGCAACTGTGTTCGGTAATTTCAGCTTTATATGCTTCTTTATGTGTGCCCTTTTTGTGTTATCTAGGCATCCAACGTGATTTGGTGTTGAAAGTTGGATTTGGTGATGCAATCTGTTGGTAAAGTTGGTTTTTGTTTCGTTTGCTTCAATGATCTGAGATTCTCTTTAAATATTGCTTTTGCAGATAAAAAGCTGCTGAAGATTGTTGTTCGACGATGGGGTTTGATTTCGGGTTATTGGTTGGGAAGATGGGTAGCAGTACATTGGGTACCTCTGAGTACGCTTCCATTGTTTCTATGAACTTGTTTGTTGCTCTTCTTTGTGCTTGTATTGTGATCGGTCATCTTTTGGAGGAGAATCGATGGATGAATGAATCTATCACTGCTCTTGTTATTGTAAGTTTGTGTTTATGCTATTAATCCATTTGGGTTACATAATTACCTGCAAATCTAATGGGTTATTCTTGAAATTGATTTGTGAATGTGATGAAAATGGAAAAGGGTTTTGAAATTATGTGTATTGATTCTTATTGTTCGTTTGATGGCAGGGTATTTGCACAGGAGTTGTTATTTTGTTAATTAGTGGAGGAACAAGTTCACATCTTCTAGTCTTTAGTGAAGATCTTTTCTTCATTTATCTTCTTCCACCGATCATCTTCAATGCTGGGTATGTTTTAGTTTGTTTCTAATTGGTAAACTTTCTATAACGATGAGTGTCTTCAAGATTGTTATCGAAAGATTTGCATTCAAAACCACAAGGGTTGTGGCGTAGTGGTTGAGGTCCGGTGGGATGTGGTGGAATATCCCATCTACCTGGTGTTCGATTCCATCCATACACAACAATCGTGCCGCTGAGTTTATCAGGGTTAATTTCTTGTCACAATTTGCCGGGATTAGTCCAGGCATAGCTTGGGACACCCTTCCAAGAAAAAGATTTGCATCCAATTTAGTATCTTCCATTGTCCTATAGAAAGAAACCAAGATTGACTAGATTACTTTAAACTTTTCTACTAGCATCTAAAGTTTGACTAGGAAGTCCTAGGTGATCTTCACGTATGAATGTAAAAAAAAAAGCATAGATAGATCAAAAAATGTGATGCCCCAACCAGTTTGGTATTATTTGGGTCTGTTCATCTCTTTGTACTTTTGGTTGATCTGTAGTTGACAGGTGGAAGATCCGAGTGAAAAAGGCATGACAAGCCATTTTAGGAAGGAGACGGCTCCTTTTAGTTGTGGCAACAACCTGGGGACATTAATGATTTTCTTGTTTATAAGCTTGATATTTCTACCGGGAAAGCCTCGCTTATTCAATTCAAAGGGCTGATTATTTAGAACTATTGAGAGGTAGCCCGGACCTGTTCTAAAAAGTCGAGGTATTTCGAATTGTTTGTTGACACGGACAAAGTCAGGGAAAACCTCTGAAATTTTTTCAATATTGAACCTTGGACAGGCTATTACCGAAAATTTTGAAAGGGGTATGGGGTTATCAGCAAGCCACTGAGGAAAAAAGAAAAAAAAAATTAGTTAGCATACTGTAGTTGCCTAACTCAATTTCAGGTTCATTGGATTCTTGACATATTTTAGATTCACTGAATTAAGACTATTGACAAAATTTGGCTATATTTTCGCTGGTTATTATCTTATTGATTGGTGTATTTACCCCATAACTGTTATTATCGTGGCAAATAAAGTTAATATGGTCTCAAACGAAAAATAGATAGAAGTCCAAGCTGTTTTCTACATGTCTTCAAAAGTATGAAATGTCTCATGATATTAGTTTTACAATACTGCTACAAGATAATTTCTACAGTACTGGATAAGCATTGATCACTTCAATGAACTCTTACTTCTTATTAATAAAATATCATGAGTAATTGCGACTTGATGAAACACAATCTAATTTCTAGCTTACCAATGTAGTATAAAAAGAAGTTTTAGTTGCTTCTTAATAAATATTATCATGACCATACGTATTGAGCTAGTTCTCTTCATGTATTTGGGTATTAATTATTTAATTAATTTATATATTAGATATCGCAGTGGGGATGAGTCTTAGAGCAACTAGTTATGTTAGTCAGTTGTGATCTGAAGGTCAAGGGGTGAAGTCATGTAAACATGCACCTTGTGGGATGCAAAGGAAATGTTGCTTATAAAGAGTTCCTCCCGAACCCTCATGAAGTCGGGGTGCCTTGGTGCTCCATCATTTCCCTTCTATTACAATGTTGTTGTAATACCATTAGAGCAAAATGGCCATTTGATCAATAACATTATCAGTTAAAATATAGTTGTGTTAAGTCAGAAGTGTTAAATAGATTTCATAAACCAAACGAACCCAATAAATTCCACATGAAGTAGGGTCTGGGGAGGGTAGGATGCATGCAGACCTTACCTCCACCTTGAGGAGTAGAGTGCATATTTACATGAAGACCCCTGATTTGTAAAAAGGTTTTGAGAAAAAAAATGTGAACGAAAATATTGCACCCTAAAGAAGAATGTGTTATTTGTGTCACTTTTCCTATTTCTTTCCTTTCTCAATCACTAAACGTTTAGAATATGTCCATGTACATTTAATGGCTCCGGTGTTTTAAGTTTTGCAGAGTAAAACATCTTTTTAACTAGCTGTTATGTGCTTTATATATTATGGGGAAAAGTTGTCTAGAAAGTTTCAATGCACAAGTTAGTATCCATCAAGTCTAAAAGCAAAAGTTATGTTCTTTTCTGCAACGATCATGTGCTTAAGAGGTGATAGTGGTGGTCGATGAACAGTTAGAAAATACTACCATGATGAACTTTGCATGATTTGCAACACAGAAGGAAGCATTTGTGAAAGTTTGCTAAGGTGGTCGTGAATAGATTGAGCATCATTACATTTGCATTTGGGCTGGCGTTGTGCTTCTGTCCACTTAATTTTGTCTGTGATGTGACTCTTTTTTGTCACCTTTTGTCACTTCTCGTTCAAAAATAAAAAAATGCCACTTTGACGGCTATCCATGTAAACACATCTTTGTCAAAGCATCCACTGGACTGCCTTCTTTTTCCTTCTTTTATTGTTATTTAATTTTTGCATGGTTACGACACTAATTGTCTTTTCTTTACTTTTTCTCGTAAATGAACAGGTTCCAGGTTAAGAAGAAACAATTTTTTCGCAATTTCATGACCATCGTGCTATTTGGTGCTGTTGGTACTGTGATATCTTTCACAATCATATCATTTGGTATGCACTGAAATGTTCTCTTCTTGGTGAAAAGCTTTATATACGTTTATAGAATTATGTGGCATAATCGATAATTGTTAAATAGTTATGATAAAATGGAACAGGTATTAATATGACCAAAAATCTGTTTAATGCAATAAAAGGAAATTTTGAAAAAATGGTTACTTTTACCATTTGCTCATCTCAATTGATGATATCGATGACCTTTGTCATTTTCCCATCGTTTTCAACTTTCAAGTTGTAATTCTTTGTGTGATCATATTACTTGCGGAAATTGTATTTTCATCGGACATACGTCCCTTCTAATAATAGACAAGTTTTAGCGAAGTTGGAAAAAGTCAAAATATGAACTCTTCATAATAAGAAATCAAATATATATACCTAAAAGCAAACCTCGTGTTCTTCGTAGTCAACCAAATTTATTACTTCAACATGCTTCAGTAAAAACCAAAATCACAACTAATAAAGATGCATATACAAAACTATAATTGATCTGTTGTTACCTTTGACATCTTCTAATCTAGTTCTAATATGTCAAAAAGTTGAAAGAAATTTTTGAAAAGTTTCTGAATTTTCTAAATTCAGGAATCGGTTTTCCCCATATTTTCGTTCTCAATTGCAGTGTTGGTAGATATTTGTTGGTTTATGCTCGTTTTTTGAACACATTGCTTGGTTTTCAATATCTAAAGAAGTTGGTATTATTTATGGACAGGTGCTATAAACATTTTCTCGAGGATGGATATTGGTTCTCTTGAGCTGGGAGATTATCTTGGTATCACTTGTTCTATACTTCCCTCTAAAAATTATTCATTCGTGAATCGTTGAATATCTTGTTTGCTAAACTTTCAAACTTCTTCGCAGCAATTGGTGCGATCTTTTCTGCAACCGATTCTGTTTGCACTTTGCAGGTACACACAGCATATCATTTAGCTTTGGTTTTTAGTCAGAAAGGTTTTTCGTGCGCTAATGTATCTCATCCGATAATGTAGGTGCTCAATCAGGATCAGACGCCTTTATTGTACAGTCTGGTGTTTGGGGAAGGCGTCGTGAATGATGCTACATCCGTTGTCATTTTCAATGCTGTTCAAAACTTTGATTTATCTCAGATCACAACAAGTGTTGCATTTCAGTTGATTGGAAATTTCTTTTATTTATTTATCACAAGTACACTTCTAGGAGCTGGAGTGAGTCTCTCTCTCTCTCTCTCTCTCTCTCTCTCTCTCTTCTCTCTGTGTGTGTGTGTGGATGTGTTTATGTTCACTTAGGGTGTATTTGGTACGTGGGATAGGACAGAACAAAAACTTGTCACACGTTTGGCACGACAATTAGACTGGAAAAGGATAGGACTGAGTGGGACAAAAATGCAATTTTTCTCTCACCAAATTACTAAAATCAGAGAGATGAGACAAGAAAGTAAGTTACTAAACTACCCATGTCAAATTAAAACCTTCCACAATTCTTTCCTGCCTACCTCAGTTCCATCCGGTCATGTCTGCATACTAAAGGCACCCTTATTTCCGTGCGTATTTATGAGATGCTTTTTTGGAAGATACGACCATGTGATGTTATTATTTCCACTCCTGCAGGCCGGACTACTAAGTGCATATATTATCAAGAAGTTATACTTTGGAAGGTACATAGAGTTTTTTTTATATCTTGATGACAAAATAGAATCTTTTTCTCTTATATATTTTCTGAGTGGCAAGCTAACCAGTTCTCTTGATCTTATTTGCTCCAAATGTTATAGTTTTTTTATCTGTTTTGCTTCCCTGAAACGACGGTTAGGAGACTAATACTTCTTCGGCTTGTTGGTTTGTAGGCATTCGACAGATCGAGAAGTTGCTATAATGATACTCATGGCTTATCTTTCATACATGCTAGCTGAGGTAAAGTCTACCTATTTGCCGTCTTGCAAGCTTCTTTTTTTCTATAATCTTGCAATAACCGCTAAAGATTCAGTATTGGGGCCATTTAGCTGATACCCATCAATCTCTATTGCAGTTATTCTATTTGAGTGGCATTCTCACGGTATTCTTCTGTGGAATCGTGATGTCTCATTACACTTGGCATAATGTCACAGAGAAATCTCGAGTAACTACCAAGTATGTTCACTCTTCTAGTTACTGTTGTTATATACTCCCTCTGTCCCAAAATAAGAGGCTGCTTACTCTTTTTTTCCATTAAGCCTTATTTGTATGGGCTAAGTTGTATGTCTAAATAAATTTGTCTGTATGAGGAACGGGAGACCAATGTGTTTTGGGGGAGGCAAAGAAAGAGGGTTGGATTATTTCTGGGGCATTTCTGGTATTAATTTGTTGGAGGTGGCTTAACGTGGACAAGTGAGGGGTCTTGGCTTATTTCCATTAGCCATTTTGGCTTAATGGCTTGACAATAAAGCCATAAAGAGACACTCCTGTATGGCCGAGCGAATAAGCCGTCTAGACCATTAAGCTCATTAAGCTGTAACTAAACAGCTCCAGTGTTTTCTATTTAAGTTTGTCACATATGAGTGTCCACTTTAAAAAATACGATAGTTATAATTCATTAAGTTTTCAGTTCTTCTCTTAACTATGACACATGAATATTTAAGAGTCGAGGAGATGGAGAGTGGAGGGGGGATTTTTCTCCATCATTAAGGGTAAAATTGTCATTCTGTTAATTAAAAAGTGTAATAATTATACGTTTCTTAATCTGTATGCTTTTTAATGTGGGCATTTGTTTTGGGAAGGCGAAAATCAAATTAGAATCTAAAAAATGTTGAGAATCGTGAGAACCTGTGAAATATTAGGCTATTGTTACCGTACTTAACTAGTTTATTTGTATCTGCTTGCCCATATTTGCAGGCATGCGTTTGCGACATTGTCATTTATTGCAGAGCTGTTTATCTTTCTTTATGTCGGTATGGATGCTTTAGATATTGAGAAGTGGAGCGTTGTAGCAGACAGGTATGGTTTAGAAAGAAAACAAAGAAGATTTATGTACGTTTTTAACCGATGGCCATCCTTATAGTTTGTGTTGTGGGTGGTTCTTTTTCTTTTGCCAGCCCCGGGACATCAGTTGAAGTGAGCGCGATTTTATTGGGATTGGTTTTGGTCGGTAGAGGCGCCTTTGTCTTCCCGTTATCATTTTTATCCAACTTAACGAGGAAGAATCACCACGAGAAAATCGATTTTAGGCAGCAAGTATGTTCTTACTCATGGTTCCATGTATCCGATTTTACCGGCATATCCTCAGCTTCTCATTCCAATTTTTTCTTAATGTTTTTAAGGTTTTAATATGGTGGGCCGGTCTTATGAGAGGCGCTGTGTCGATGGCCCTTGCTTATAACCAGGTTGGTAACTTAACAGTTTTCTTATTTATCTGGTCTAAGGCTATATTTGGCAAACTAACCTATAAAATTTGTCTGATCTAAGGCTTTATATATTTGGGAAACTAACCTATAAACTAGTTGTTAGCTGAAAAACTGGTTGTTAGCTGAAAACCTGGTTGTTAGCTGAAAAGCTGGCTGTTGGCTGAAAAACTAGCAATTGATTGATAAATTAGTCACGTTTGGTAAACTAGTTGATAAGCTAGATTGATTGTGCAGTTCACGAGGTTAGGCCACACACAGTTACGGGGGAATGCAATCATGATAACGAGTACCATCACCGTCGTCCTCTTCAGTACAATGGTAAGATATCTTAATCATTTGCGGGGGTCTTAATGGAAACAGCCGCTCTACTTGTAGATACGTATTTTCAGAACTTTTATTTTGGTACCTGAGGTGTGGCATCTCAAATATTTAGTCATTTAGGTACCTGATATACATGTGAGGATGCATGAAACCGCAATGTAATTTAGTCCGATTCCTTTTTTGTTTAATGTACTTTGGTCTAAATGTCTCAGATATCACATCTGATATACCAAAATGAAGGTTTTGAAAGTATGTTTCACACAAAATAGGAATCAGACCACAGTAGGTTATATTTTCATGCAATTTGCTCATTTCTAAAAAGTTTTTCGTTCAGCCAATGATGATTAAGTTTCAACTATTTGTTACCGAATTGGATGCAAATTTCTGATCTATGTACCGGTGTTGTTCATTTGTGCAGGTGTTTGGTCTGATCACACAGCCTCTTGTCAGACTCTTGCTGCCCGCTCCCAAAAACTCGTTACACCGAATGATTTCCTCCGAACCAACGACACCTAAATCCTTCATTGTGCCACTTCTCGGAAACGGTCAGGATTCTGAAGCCGATCTCCCCCAACATGTCCCCCGACCCTCGAGTTTACGAATGCTCCTTTCAACGCCTTCTCACACCGTTCACCATTATTGGAGAAAATTCGATAATGCATTCATGCGTCCCGTTTTCGGTGGTCGTGGTTTCGTACCCTATGTTCCCGGTTCACCAACAGAACAAAGTGTTCATCATCTGATCGACGAAGAAACGGAGTCGTAGAGTCATAAGTATTTGTTTATATATTGGATACTGAAATATCTTTTGAACGATCGTGTCATTACCGTTTTGGCGGATCGGGAGCGTTGTTTTCCGATTAGTATTTAGTTTAAAGGCGAATCAGTTGTGAGTTGTGGGAGTGTAGATTATGGTCGTACATCGACACCTTCTTGAAAGCGTAATGTATAATTTGTGTATCTATGCGTATGTACCAAATTTCTTCTGTCGAACCTTCTATTTATGTATTTGATTGCGTATAAATGAGATAATCAAAAAGTCGCGTTTTTGGATGGTTTGAAAGCTATATCGTGTTCGTGACCGAGTCCTATCTCCCCTATTTTGGATAATCTGTTAGAGAACTCCTTGATCACAAGCAGATGCAACGTGTGGATTTTGTTACGAACGTCATCATTGACTACAACGTTGTTCAAGATAAAAGATATGATATCAAAAAACGCATTTCATGCAACATCTGTCTCGTAAAAATGTACGATGATGAGTCCGAGATGTTGGGGGATTCTCGTTACCAGGGTCGGGTTCATAATCCACTTGGTTAGTAAGCAATGCCGGACCTAAGTTTTTTTTTCTCGAGTGGGTGCAACTTTAAGGTGGATTAAAGACATGTAAAGGGAGGTTTAATCACGTGGAAAGTCAATGTGGTTTGACCTTGGGGAAATCAATAGTGTCGATTTGGAGAGTAAAATACATTTTTCAATGGAATCAAACTCTCGAGCCAGACACAAGACTACGTCTTAGACGTAAGCCCAATGTGATTTTAGCCGAATTCCACTGTTTCAGATAATTTTTTTAGTTTCTTGGAATTGTTTTAAGTTTTTTGCAGATTTCGAGGGACTTTTTCCTTTTTTTAATTGATTTCAAGGGATTTTTCTGTTTTTTGGTTGATGTCCCTTGTATTTTCGAATATCCTAGAAAATCCCTCAAAATTTAACGTTTACACATTTTCATACTCAAAAAATAATTCTACTTGCGAAATCGGTTTGGCAAGTGAGAGGCCACTGGGACCTTCATTGGTTCACCTCTATTTGTAAGTTAGGGTCATTTACAGGTCCCAGACCTCAACAGATCATGTCATAACCGGTCTCGATCGAAAAAGGTGAATCCGGCCAAGCTTTATTGTAATCGGTTATTGGTCGCTGGTCCCAATCCCAACCGGTCCAATTCTTAAAAAATATATTTTTTTTAATGATATATATTTTCAATACATTATAAAATTTGTAATTGGGTCATTCAAATACACTTTAAAAATGCGTTTTATTATAATTAAAATTACATTGTCTTACAAAATATAGCGAGAAACCGAGAATTGTGAACGTTTTTGCGTTTTTTGCGTATCGAGAACTTGGTATGTAAACCCCTCAACCAAGACACTTATATATAGTGTTTAGAAAGCAAAAAAAAAAAAACAATGATAAACGGTTAATTTTTTGAAAAATAACAGCTACATTTTTGAAAATTTGGGCCGGACCGGGCCATAACCGGTTCCAGTCCCACAAAACACCCCAAATCCATAATCGGTCCCAGATTTCGGTCCTATAACCGGTCCCTGGCCGGGCTGGGCTAGTTTGGCCATCACTATTTTCAAATCGACGTGTTTTTTTCTCTTATTTCCTACGTTCTTACTATTTCATGAATCAATCAATCAATTCTATGTCATCAGGAAATTGGGTCATCGTGTATCTCAAATTCTCAATTTTAGAACCATAACTATCAACGACAATTCGTTTAGACCAAAAGTAGGTTATAGGTATGAATAAAAAACCAGTCATTTCGTATCAAAGATTTGAATCATTCATCTAAGTGAAATGTGAAGTAACAAGAACAAGTCAATAAAGCTCGAGCTCCAACTTTGAAAAGCATGTAAAAAAAGACGGACACGTGATAAGCTTTTGATCAAAGTACAAATCCAGATCACATGTCAAAAAAAATCAAAACGGGTCTCAGAACCCTCGTTAGTCTCAGCCGCTGAGTGAGCTAAAAATGTCACCCTTATATTGGTGTACTTGAAAACAAGTTTCGTATGGGATCGGTTGGGGTTGTCAACAATCAACTTTTGTCCAAATATTAATTTTTTTGTTATAACCCAAGGAATTTAAGTTCCGCGTATCGTGGATTTTGAATTCCTTACTGAGACTCGTAGAATGAACCAAACGCATAAATGAAATTTGGTTAATGGAATTGAACACGACATGAATCGTCCCTTGAAGAACAGAGCAAAATGCAATAGTATGTTAGATAAAAACCTGTTTGTGAAGCATCGTTATGATTCAAAATAAGCACCTACCGAGAAAACATAATATGACATACACGAGGTCGTAATGTCATAATCGTAAGATCAGAGGATGCTACACGTTGCCTTGAACAAGTTCCCAAACGCCCAGAGATTTAACGTGGTAGAAACAGTTTTTGTAGTGTTTTTCTAATAAAGGTAAAAATAACAAACAAATGCCAGTGTATTTATATTTATTTCCCGGTTGCATAATCTAACAACATACACATAAAATCTTCTAAGGCACTGTTTGGCAAACATAAGCTAGCTTTATTTTTTGAGTACATGTTTGGATGTCATAACCTGACTTATAAGCTAGTTTATTGAAAAGCTAGTAGAAAGTAGCTCATGAGGAGCTTTTTGCCACTTTTTTTTTTCCGATTATACACCTGATTAATATTAATTGTTATTAATTAATATTATTTTTAATTGATTAAGAAATTTTAATTATTAATTAATATTAATTTCAATTTAATAATTCATTTTAATTATTAATTAATATTTGTTTCAAATTATTAATTAACTTTAATGGTAAATTATTCACTAGTATTAATTATTGATTATTTAGAATTATTATTACTTGTTTCACATTATTATTATTCAATGTATTATCAAAAAACAAATATAACAAGTTTAAAAATGTTTTTATAAATTACATAAAAATTAAAGTTATATATTTTTTTTGTTTCATAAATAATAAAAAAAAATATTTAATTTAATTATTTTTTTCAGAAATTATTAATTAACTAAGATATGTAAGAATGATAAACTTTATTTTTATTTATATTATATATAATGCTTATTTAAAATCATCATTTAATGTAGATATCTTTTAAATTTTGTATTTGGTTATTAACTTTTAAACACGTTCTTTTTTATCATTTTACATTTTTAACTAGTTTTTATCAAATGTATTTGGTTCATCAGTTAGCTTATAAATTATTAGCTAGTTTATCAGTCATCAACTAACTTATCAATTAATATATAATTTTTTTTATTCATAAGTCATCAGTACAGTTTGGTCTTAATACTATTTAGATAGTTCATTTTTATGTTGAATATATGAGAATATTACATGTGGTCCATTAAGTAACTATAAAAGAGATAGAAACCCAAAGTACATTTTTTTCATGATTATTAAAAAAGAAAAGCATGTGGTCCACCGTACACCCGTATAAAGAGAGTTGCTACAATAAAAGTGTTGTTCTGAGCCATTTACCTAACACTTATCCGGGTAAGCGTTCATCAAGTCACATTATTTTACTTGATGAATATTGCAGGGATCAAAAATTTTACCCGGTAAGAGGGAGACAAGGACCGAGAGTCCAACTCGGTAAGTGAGGGCGACGACTCTTACCATGGTAAGCGCTTACCGGGTAAATTGTTGCATACATGTCTTTTTGGTGGACTAAAATGTTATTCTGTAAATAAATGATAATGTTAAATTTTATCAGTAAGCGCTTATCGGGTAAGTGTTTGATAGACGACCCCTTTAATTCTGAATTTTATTTTTTGCTTCTCTTAATTGTCGAGTCTGATCGGTTTGACCATTTTTCCACCTCTCAATTTCCTTCATTATTCTTCCATGGCCCACCCTCAAGATTACACTATTTCGTAAATATAACTGTGTTAATAATGTAAAAGGATTTTCAGTAGCATCGTAATGCAAAATCAACTAAAAAATATAGCAGTTTTTTGTTTTGGGCTATCTAAACAACTTGATATGTTAATCCTACTTGATATCAGTAACTTTGATTTTACATTTATTTTAATAATACTTTCTCGGATCAACTTCTGTTGGGCTTTAGTTTGCGAAAATAACCGGATAAAACGCAGCGGAAAAACAGAACCCGATTACAAAAACGTTTAGAAATTTTTTAATAAATAAAACCCAAAGCCGGATCCATTGACAATTAAAACGAATCTACACAAACCATAGGGTGTTTAAAATATTTACCTTGTGGTTGAAATTGAAACTTTGATGTAGTACTAAGAAACCAAATCAGGTTTCCTCTATCGGTTGTCCACACATGAACACGCTTGGAACTCCCACCGGGTGCTAGCCCAAAGAATCCTAATTCTATAATTGTATCGTAAGGGTTTTGAGGCTACAACTAGTTATCAGAACTCAATCCCCCAATTTGGTTTAGCCCCTAAGCCTTATTTATCAGTCTTCGAGATTGACCATAACTCTTAATAAGGCTTAATCATTATCTAAAATGATTATTTATTTATCTAATAATATCTTATATAATTGTCTAAAAACATTTAAGATAATTACATACATATTTATAGATTAAACTCTGGGTAGTTATAATAATCACAAAACGGTACATATGTTTAGATTCTTTCTTTAGTGGAAGCATACGTGTTCTTTGTGTGTGACCCTTTAGGTTTGCATGGCTCGTTGGCAGTGTATCCGAGTAACACGTGTCGTAGGTATAACATACAACTTACAACTCCTTATTTGATTATTTTGATCTTAAACTAAAATCAAGAATCATAACCAATTTTACATTTATAGGGTTTTATTTGAAAACACTATAAAATACGTACAAGTTTGAGTAATTACTGTGACGATTTTAAGAAATTAAATAACTTACACATCAAAATAATTGTTGACTTATTCCGGTGTAGTTTCAGTAGCATTTTTGAGGGTTTGGATAAACAACTTATACCGGTGTCAAACCGGTAATAAAGAGTTCTATATTATAATAAGTTGATAAGTGTTTTTATAAAAAAATATAAGTTGTTTCAAATAAGCAATCTCGAACGCCCCTAAATTGATTTCAAAATGAAAATATGTTAAAAAAATGATTACATTAAAGAAAATAAAAATAAAGACAAATTTATTGGGGATTTTTGCATGATTTTGGTATAAGGTAAAGAAAAAGGGAAGTGATTTGATTTTGAGGTTTTCACCATGTTTGCTGTTGGCTTCCGTTGGTTCCCATCCGTTGTTGCCCAATGAACGGTTGAGTACGTGACTACGCAGCTGCTGAAGAATTTTTCCCCAAATCTTCAAATTACTTCACCCCACATACATCCCAGGGGAAAAGGAGGTTTGTCTACGTAAACTTATGAGGGTTTTGAAGAATTTACACTATGTTATCTCCCAATTAAAGTTTCGATCTTTATCGGTCTAGGGTTTTATGGTCATCGCCTTCCAATTTTCACGTTTTTATTGAGATCCAATTCAATAGTGTTGTTGTTCGATTCATTCGCATTAGGGTTCGTTTCATTTTCTTCTATTTTTTTATTGGTGTCGGATTTCTTCTTTACAAATGAGGTTGTTTTTGGGCGTTTGATATCAAACAGTTTGAACTCTAACAGAGTTTTGGTATTGATCTTCCATCTTGGGTCAGACATTTTTTTGGTTGTAATTTAGAGCTTGGGTCCTAAGAAAGTTGTTTGATCTGTTTTTTTTTTGTTTTGGTTCTTCATTTTTTAAATTTCTGTTCCTGGGGCAACAATTGGAAATTTAGCTTAATTTGATTAGAAGTAGAAAAGAGAATGTCTGCTTCAGGAATGGATTATGGTCGGGAAAGCGGTGGTGCCGGCACAATTCTAACACCAGCAAGATTTGTGTGGCCTTATGGGGGAAGAAGTGTATACTTGAGTGGCTCTTTTACAGGGTAAGATTAATGCTTATAAATGTTTTGAAGGTTGAGCTATAAGTTTTTATGATATTGCCAAGTAAATAGACCCAATCTTTGTTTAATCTATGGCATGTCTGTGTTTGGTGAAGGTGGTCTGAACATTGGCCGATGACCCCCGTTGAGGGTTGCCCTACGGTATTTCAGACGATATGCAGCTTACCACCTGGTTATCATCAGGTTGGTTCTTAGTTCTTACTTTAACTTCGTTTCATTCATTGAACAGAAAGTTGGGATTAATGGTTCACAAGTAGATAGAAGGTATTGGAGTTAGGTTGAATGTTTTTTTCTTAATTGGGTAAATGGATATTTATGTCTTGATGGAACTAATATATCGTCTCTGAATGTTGATCGTTATGGGCTGATGATGGGATAGAATATTGACCTTTTGGTTATGCCAATTATCTTCTATCAACAGTATATATGATTGATGAAACCTTTTTATGTGCTTTTCGTTGAATTTTAAATAATGTATGGGTCTATCTAAGTTCGTAGATTGCTTGAAAATGAAGTCAACTTTTGTGATGGTTAATATGGATAGGGAGCTTTCTTTTGTTTTACTCTCTATCGTATTGGTACCAGTACAATAGTAGATGAGAACTCATCCATGCCACTGAAGACTCTATAGAGAGACTTTGATCTGATGGATCAGAATCGAGTGGAGGTCTACTTTATAATGGATGTGTGAGGTCGGTAGTTTGTTGCTTGGTTTGAATAGGCCCACTATCCAGTTACATTTGTCCAAGTGTAGTTGTTGGCAATCTAGAATGAAGAAATCTTTACGGCATGTGTTTGTTTTAATGGAAACACTAGTGGATCAACAGAAAAGAATATGTAATTCTTGAAGAGGGGAGGGGTGTAGGAGAAAATAATGTCATTAAACAAAGACAGATGAATGGGACTGTGATTATCACTTGGTTTCCTTCTGTGGATGCGACTTCTATGGAATCTATATGACCGGGGTTCAAGCAAAAATCCTGGAGCCAGTCACCAGAAAAGGAAGTTATGATTCATACACTTTGCCATCTTTGGGTGGTTGTGTAACTAATCTAAGTACAAGGGTGTTACTCACAGTTGAGGCACAAAGACTGTGAGGGATGAGAGAGAGAGAGTCCAATTGTAGTAGAGAAAAAGAAGTAATCCTGTTAAAGAGCGTAGGGAAATTGTTGGCTGATACTTTATTTTGATTTTCTTTGTTTCTCTAAAAAATGACTGTTATTTGACTTCTCTGTTTGAACTGGATTTCACTTGAAATAAATATTCTGTCATATATCACTGTTGTACTAAATAATTTATGGCTACTTGCTTTTTCCTTGTTGATCAACATATAATTTTGTAAGTGAAATTATAAGCAACGTATGTGTGCATATACAAGCACATGCACATGTGTATATAGTATATACACGTATATCATGAACTCAAAAAGGTTATCCATGTAAAACTATCAGTACATACACCATGAATTGGCAACTCAAAGAATAACATACATGTCACAAATCAGAGTGTACCCTCAACCCAATAATAATGTTGATTCCGATTTGAGATTCAGGCTGAGTCTATGAAAAATTTCTAATAAGTTAATATATTGGTGTCTTTTTACACCTATTGAAGTTCATTTTTACAATAATATCTCTTTAATGTATTATCGAGACCATCCGCTTCTTTACAATAATATCCCTTTAATGTATATTGAAACCATTCATTCCTGGTTCCATCTCACGACCTTCGGTGGTCTCAGCTTATATCTAGAGAAGGGGCAAACTGCATATTATTTCATGAAGTTTGCTACTTCACTGCAGCTGATTTCATGACCATTCTTATTAGCTTAATTTCTTTCCAAGGTTTGCAAACCTTGGTGAATTACTTTGATCCAGTATTTTGCTAATGTTACTGGTCAAAAATTGAGGGGACTTGCATGTGACCTTTTACTTTGGGAATTTTTTATGCCCTCGCCTTATTTCTGTATTTCTTTTTTATTCAATATCAGTGCCATGTGTAAGAGCTTCTAGTTCTATGCCTCCTTAACTCGGTAGTAGTCGGTCGATCTGAAAGTCATACCGCTGATGTGCAGTTTGCTTGACATGCTTGACACAGGATCTACGGGTGATAAATCCAACCCTCTCCATTTGTATCCTATATCAAAACTTATATCATCTATTTTGTTTCTGCTGTGAAATCCCAATGTCAAAGCCAATAAACTTGCACCGAATTAATAAATTCTCGGCTCTTCTTCATTAATTCATCAATAAATGCAATAAGCAAAAGACAACTGATGGGATTATAAACATCTCAGAGCCAACTGCAAATAAGAACAGTAGCATGATCAAGACCCTGTAGTTGAAGAGTGATGGCATGTACCCACCATATCATTCAAAGTTGGGAGTTCTGTAAGTGAACAATGGTCAGATTTTGGTGCATGTGATAAATAATGAACAATAGTCCATTCAAAGTTGGGGATTCAGTATAGTTAGTTAACAGAGATATAATCAGAGTGAAATCATGGAAACATGTGATAAATGATTTATAGCTGTAAAATATGAATTTGAACATGTTTAATCTCTTGTGCGAACTGCAAAGCACATGCGTAATTTTGAACAAAAGATCAACAAATTCACAGAAGTACTACACCCAAGTGTGGAATCGCTGCAAAGCACACAAGAGAATAGTGAATGTTGTGGAGCCAGTTGCAACAAAGTAGCCAATCTTAAGAAATCTGTATGCTATTTGCCCTTTGAAATACATCATTCTTGTTTGTGTCCAATACCACATAATTGTAAAGCAGTATAATGTTTTCGGTTTCTTTGGCCTTATGATGAATAACTCTCTCTCACAATGTAGCTCATTTAAATGATATTCACATATTGTTCTGATCTTGCAGTATAAATTTATTGTTGATGGTGAGTGGCGGCATGACGAGCACCAACCTTTTGTAACTGGTAGTTATGGTACTGTGAATACTGTACTCTTAGCTAGGGAACCTGACTATACTCCTGCAGTCTTGAGCCCACATACAACTTCTGGTTCAAGCATGGATGTGGACAATGAGGTCTTTCAGCGAGTGGTAGGAGACTTATTATATTATTCTTTTTCTAAATAGTTGCTGAAATATTTCATCTTTTTCTTTGTTCACTGTAGATTTTCAACACATAGTTATTGGTGCTTCTTTTCTCCCTGAAGTCTAGGGTGATAATAACTTATGGCTGGTTACTTTATAGTAAGGGAAGCAGGCTTTTCTAAACTACACTACAATATTGATCTTTTGTTAGTATATGGCTGCTGGGCTTTAGTATACACCTAGGCTTAATGATGCTTATGATGGCTAGGGTCTACTGTCTGGTGATCTTATGATTCAAGCCATAGTAAGGGCTATATCCAGGAATATAAGGAATTGCACCCTAAATTATGATTCACACCCGTGATACAGCCTTGCAGCAGGAGTTGATTCCCTTAACAAAAGGATACTTTTCCAAGTACCATATCAATTGTTCAATGTCTCACAATTTAAAATCTGTTTGCGTATATATAGATGCAGAAAACAGCAGTGAAAATCTAAACTTTCAACAAGTGACACAACTTGAATTTCACACTAGATTAAAACCAAGAAGGTAATGATAATGACAGCTATGACTACTATCAATGAACTTTGTCAAAGCCATACTTAGGTTTCTATTTGTCCTAAATAAATAAATTCACCTAAAATGTGATAGGAGAATCCTTGACACGATTAAAATGCAACACCTTAAACGCAAATCATACACAAGTAAGTGACCTTATCAATTGTCCTTCTGATTTTTCTTTCTTCATATGCCAAGATCCGAGTTCATAGGTGTTCCCTATAGAGCTATGATGAACAAAAATGGCAGGATGCACTTTATCTGATGCTAGCTTTCTCTTTTCAATGTGAACTAGGTTGACCATTCAGTATTAGGTAGAATTACAATCCCCTTGTTAAATGTAAAATCATCAGGTTTGAAGCTGTAGTTTACCAGGTCTTATCACTGAAAACTTTAGAATGTTGCATTCTTGGTAACAAGCCAGTGTTATGTATCTGACTGCGTAAGATGTCTCACTAGATGAAACTATGGTGAGTGAACTGTTGAAAAACCTTTTGCTTGGAACTGTAACCAAACTAATTGCTTGAAGTCTTTCTATCTGAAGTGAGGTTATGGGAAATCTGCTATATATGTTCTGCAGTAAGCCAACATATAAACTTGAATCATGCATGAACAATTTGATATGGATTCATCATCTACCATTATTCATCTGTTGCTTTTTTGAACTTTCATGTTATCTAGTAGACTCCTTGTCCCTGGCCCTGCATTTTCTTCTCCTATAGATCTCTCCTTAAGGCACTGCTCTCCTAACATCTTTATCTTCCTTGAACCTCTGTGTGGGGGATATCTATGGCAGGTAAGGATGTCAGACAGTACATCTCACGAGCCGTTGCCAAGGATATCAGAAGCAGACCTGGAGGTATCTCGTCACCGGATTTCTGTATTCCTGGCTACACATATGACCTATGAGCTGCTTCCTGAGTCTGGCAAGGTCAGATATGATTCTTGGTTTTCTAGTAAAGTATATTTGACAATTTGTATCAACTTGATATTTCAGTTCTTTTTCACATTTTGTTTATATTTGCCTTATTTTCAGGTCATTGCCTTAGATGTTGATTTACCTGTAAAGCAAGCATTTCATATTCTTTATGAGCAGGTATCTCCACCATATCTTTTCAAGTAGACTTTGTATGTCTCTATTGTATTCTTAATCTCTTAATAGGAGATACGTCATAGTAAATGGTAATTATTTTACCAAACGGCGAATTACCTGCTAATGACTTTGAAAGCTTGTTTGCTTACGTAAAACAGTCTGATGCTAAGAGCAGTAGGTTATGATTTTGATGCACGGTTTTTACTTGAGAAATATTCATCTGACTAGAAGATGTTGCTGGTTCATGTATCTTCTAACATAGGATCATGTTCAGAACTTCAAATGGTCTATTTCAAACTTTGATAAGTAGGGAGCTCACATTTTCTAGTTTGAGGACATGATTAACACTTTCAAATGGTCTATGCTATAACCAATGTCATCTACTTTAATACTTATCTTATGTTCTTGTGCATATTCTCTTTGATATTGTTCTTTTATATGTAACATTTCTAAAGTGGAGCAATTTTCAGGGAATTTCTACAGCTCCTCTTTGGGACTTCTGCAAGGGTCAGTTTGTTGGTGTTTTAAGTGCATTGGATTTTATTTTAATTATGCGGGAGGTAAGCTCAAGGCGATTCCAGTTATCAACATTGAGACTAATTGTTTTGAGGTCTGGTTGGATTTTTTTGAATTAGAAATTGTTACAAACTGCTACCGATTGTCAACAAAACTAGGGCAAGATTTGATTATAAACTCGTAACTGAACGATTATGACACTCTGGCTTTCAAGAGGCCAAGAACTCTCCTAAGGGTTACACCCAATTGATTACAAAACTGAAACCTAATCCATTCCACCTCCCTTCTATTTATACTTTTTCTAACAACCTCACTATTGACTAGTTGACCGGCCCACTATTATCTATATGTGTAACAGAATTGTCTAGAAGAGTTGTGGTGGGTAACTGATTAGTGTTGAATCTGAATTTCATGTGAAAACTACAAGTCTCCATCCTTTACGGTTTACATTGCATGCCCATTTTGATAAACATTTTGAATCTGTTGAGCCTGTGTCAAGGAGATCTTGGTATAAGTGGAAGAGCACAAAAGGGTCTTGATAGGAGACCAAACCGAACAAGCCTAGTATATCCCACCCAGAGGTGAGGTTTTCTTTTGGGGGGCGGGGTAAGATATATTCAGACTCGAGCCCTACCCGAAATAGTAGAGCGGTAGTTTCTGTGAAGAAAGGGTCTTGATAGAATTCTTTAAACGTTCAATAGGAATTAGTCTATATAAGAAGCAGAATTTCTTCAAGACGACATAGATTGAAGTGAAGATCCAGTTTAGTTTCATATATCTACATTAAGATGGTCCCAATGTCGATATTACGATTAATATTTCTATGTTAAGGGAATGTAACTATGTAAACTTAGTTCTCACATGATATCTCATCGAAATATGAAAGTAACTGTGTCTGCTTGTGAAACTTCTATCAATGATTGGCCACTTTCTCATTTCCTCAAATGAACTGTATGTACAAGCCCTATATATATTCTAAACCTAACAGCTAATTCCTTGATATTAAGGGAATATAATAACAATAAACAAAATAAAATAAAAGAATATTAAAAAACTAAAACTAAGTTATTACTTTTAACAATTTATAAGCAAGAGGTAATATCGCTTTACTGTTTTCCTCATCTTGTATAAATTGTGATAATGTTATGGCATCTGCATGTTACTAGTTGATTAGTAAGTTGTACTATGATGTCAAAAGATTTGACTTTTGACATGCGTCTTGTTTTGTCAGCCGTTCATACAAAAGTACATACTTGTACTGATTTTCTAACAAAATTGTGATAATACTAGTTAGGGTAGGTCAAAATGAGACCCTTTACAACTTATATCTTGCTCTAGTTTGTTAGCACAAATTTTCTTTGAAAGTTATTTGCTCTACTTTTCTTGGATGATTGCTCTTTCATCATCTGGTTTAGAAGAAAAATTTTGAAAGTCTGTTTGAATAGATTAACTGTCGATAATTGATGAGTTCATAGTGCACAGAGAGAGTCTATATTATTATGTTATTCTTGGGTTACAATGCCTGATTGGTGATCTGAAATTTTTGCAGCTTGGTAATCATGGGTCCAATCTGACAGAGGAAGAACTTGAGACGCATACTATATCTGCTTGGAAAGAAGCGAAGTTATATCTCAATAAACAAGCCATCAAGCATGGTAAAATACTTTCTAAAAGACTAGTGAAGGTGAGTTTCTTTGTGAACATTTATACCCCCAGTTTGTAACTAGAGCTCTTATTTACTATTTGATCTTTAAGTAGATTGTATATTGAGGTCATGGATATATGACGTCATACTTTGTTTGTTCAAAATTTGATGATGCAATAGTTGTCTCTTTGAACCTTTTTATACATGCTTTCTTGGCCACTCCTCTGGTATTGCCTATACTTCGCAATTCTGACAATGTTCCTGAAATAAGTCGATCAAAAACTTATGTGGATGAATAGCTGTGATGGAATAGTCAGTCTTCTGCAATTTAAGTTTTCTAATCTTTTTTCGTAATTCTGAAAACATCCATAGCTAGGGTAATAGTTTGCATAAAGAGAATGGTATGCAATTGTCTTTCGTATGTTACTCATTCATTATAGTGAAGCGAAGTGAAATTAGATGGCTTTTGTAAATGTTGCATGAGTCATATGGTTACCTCATACCTGTTTCTGTTGGCACTTTCTTTAACATTCTTAGCATAGTACTAGAGTGGAGTCTTGGGCAAGTAGGCATTAAAACGTGGGAGATTTTAGAAGCAAATACTGTCGTGACTGTGGATGGAAGTTGGAAACACTTCTCTTTGTCGTCTAGAATTTAAGTTTGATGATCATTTTGCTATAATGTAACTCCGTTTTCATTGTTTGGGTTAGCAACTTCTAATGTCTTTATATTTATCGATTTCTATTGTTCAGGCTGGGCCAGATGAAAATTTGAAAGATGTCAGTTTAAAGATACTGCAGAATCGGGTAGCTACAGTTCCCGTTACTCATTCACCCTCCGATGATGGTTCATATCCACAGCTATTATATCTTGCCTCCCTTTCTGAAGTACTAAAACGTAAGTTTTTGGTTATTCTTGCTGAGGATTTAAATGTTGATCACTCTATCTTACTAACTGACTGCATCTTCTAATCCAGTTGTTTGCAGATACTTTAGACATTCTACAAGCTCATTGCCCATATTGCAACTGCCAATTAGTTCCCTTCCTTTGGGTACATGGGTTCCAAAAATTGGAGAATCAAATAAACAGCCATTGGCAGTACTAAGACCAAGCTCTTCTCTTAGCGCAGCATTGAATTTGTTTGTGCAAGGTGTGTTTTATGCCCATTAGATAATAAACCTGTTGTATTAGAATCATAAATGTGTACAATCAGTGTATCACTCTACTAAAATTGGCTTCTTGGTTTTCTTGCTCTGCATCATTGAACTTATTTTTAACAGTTTGTTCTGTTGATGAGCATCTTTGTTTTGGAAGATTTCCTAAGACCTGTAATTATCTTATATGGTCAATGCCTTCTTTGCGTCCTTTTTCTGTAGTCCACAGCTATTTTATGCTTTTCTAAGGAATGTCTTTTCTTTTTGCATCTTCATGTTTTGTGCTTGAGATATTTATATTTCACTACTTAGGATGCTGAGTGCCTCTTTAACAAGGCTCAGTGGTTCATTTGGGTATAACTAATACTGAAACTTCTATTGATGCTCTTAAGATTTACACTGTCAATTAATTTGCATATGTTCATCTCATCTGTGTTTTAGTGCTCCATTGCTTAATTTGCCCACTTTTTTCAACTCATATGTCGTGGTACGTAATTGAGGAGTTCTTTTTATTTACTCTACTACTCTTGTGTCTTATTAGCAGCTTTCTAAGAAGCGTTAATGGAGCTAGGTAGGCCAGTGACCGACCTTCTAGCACTTTTTTTTTACTCTACTACTCTTGTGTCTTATTAACATGCTTTTGCAGCCCATGTTATACCACTTGTACACCAGTTTCCATGAACCCAGTCTGGATCTAAACTCTTTTCTTATGTATGCGTCATGTATGTAAGCTAAGCAGGATCGAGAGACAAATAGGTCTAGCTACCTGTTCTAAGTGGCAGGATGGATCAAGAAAATAGGTGGGATAGACGGGTTTGTGGTTATCTGCTGCCCACGATTCCTCCTATGCTTTAAGAACCATGTGAATTGGGGGGTGCACAAAAGGGAAGGAGGAACTCATATGGAGTAGGACTGCCCAACCGCATTGATATGGTTAACCTGCGTGATCTTTGCAAACACCATTTGATCCGCTTGTTGACTGATAATATGGACAATGCCCGTCGTAGAAGGAAATCAAAGTGAAATAGGCAGCGTCTATGCCTAAGCAGCTGCTTTATCCTTTTTTAAGAACACTGATTAATTGGATGATCCTATGGTGATGAAGTTGATTCTTCAAATAAGTACTTTTGATATTTAAAAACAATGCAGAGACTTGAGTATAACTGCAACACTCATACCTGGTCCCACATAGACGAAGAGGTCCTTTGACTTTCATTGACTTGGCTACCTTTACGATTCTGCTGCATCTTTAGAATTATGTGATCAAGAAAACTTAAGAGATGAACCATGATTGTTGTAGCAGAATTCGGTGTATATTGCTCCTGAAAACAAGAATACATTTGATTTGTAAAATCTCCCATGCATCTTTTTCCTATTTATGTTCCACATGGTGAATTTGAAGGTTGATAGCCTGCTATGATGTTGAATTTACTTATAAATTATATATAGGAAGGCCACATGCCATTAGAATTGGTGGTTTTATTGAAATTTCTGGTAAATAGGGTTAATGATGGAAGCTTAAGTTGATCATCCAGAAAAATAAAAAGTTGCCTATTCGTATGTTGGGTGGTAGGTTTGGTTGCTAAAAGGTGTAAATTGAACATTTGAAATTACATGATATTGCTTTATTTTTATTTTATTCTGGCCTGGTGGGGCCCAAGGTATGGCAGAATCTATCTGCCGTTTTAACCATGTTCAGTTTTATATATTCCTCGCTTTCTTTTGCAGCTGAAGTTAGCTCTATTCCCATTGTTGATGACAACGACTCGTTATTGGATGTATACTCTCGAAGGTAAAGCTATCTCAGCGTATCCTTCATGTTTCATGGTAGTATTTATCGAGTTTAGCATTGTTCTTACCACATTGGTTTACACTTTGACAGTGACATCACTGCTTTGGCAAAAGATAAAGTTTATACACACATTAACCTTGAAGAAATGACTATTCATCAAGTAAGTACCATTTAATCAGTTAACCTTTTTATCTCGAGTCAAGTAGTAGACACATTGAACCTCCAGTACTCAAATGTATGTGGCTTTGTTTTCTGGGTGGTAGGCTCGGAGAACCTTTGTTGAGAGTGCTTGGTGACTTGCATCTTTAGGGCATAGGGGCAGGCTCTTTTAAGAAACGTAAGTACTTTGAGAACCGTGAGAGCCAAATATTCATGATGAATATGGATGTATATTTATGTTTATTCATTATCAATATTGGGTTCCTTCGTTCTCAAAATATTTACGTTTCCTAAATGTACTTTTCCCTTGTGGTATAATCTTTAAAAGGGGTCCTACCCCCAGTGCAAGTGCTGCGTTCATTTATTCCTGGTTCCGTTATCTTTTTCAACAAAGTCTATAATTGATGTCTTTGATAATCTTAGGCTTTGCAGCTGGGACAAGAATTGTACTCTTCTTATGGGGCAACCACACAAAGATGCCACATGTGCCTACGCTCAGATTCCCTGCATAAAGTTATGGAAAGATTAGCAAAACCAGGTGTGTGCTTGCCTTTTCTTTTGAAGTTCTGATAGAATGTGGAATGTCCTACGCCTACCAGAACCAGTCATTTTACTTTTTGGGGGTGGGATATGCTGGACTCGTTTTGTTTGGTTTGGTTTCCTATGCATAGTACGCATGTGTAAGCATATATGTACACGATACATATCTACCTAAATGGATTATGAAAACAAAGAGTTTATATATTGCTTTAACTCTTGGACCCATTGTCACAAATAAAAATATAATCACTTGGGGCTATGTGGTAGACCCAAAGGCCAAAAATAACACAAGATGGGAATTCTTAAGTTATCTTGTATATAAACCAAGTCATACCAAATGTGCACAATATATCCCACATAGAGATCGGGTCTACTGTCTAGGGGAGTAGGATGTATGTGACCTTGCCTCTACCCCGACAGTAAAGTATAACTATATTTACTCTCGAGATACTTGGGGCCTTGAACTATTTTTATGCTCTAGCCTCTATGTATAACTTCAGTGTGATAATTGATAAACTCTTAACATTCTGATATGGGTATAAATACATCAATGATCAATCTTTCTTGAGGTTCTTTTTTCTATTTTATTTGATACTTGTTGAAGCACATGCACACATACGTTCATGGCTTGTACATGCATACCGACATACTCCTTTTGTCCCAAAATAAATGTCCATGATGAAAAAGGCACACAGTCGTGGAAACATGTAACTATTACACTTTTTAATTAACTAAATGACAATTTTACCCTTACTAATAAGAGTAATGAATTTCACCATCTCATAATTAAGTTTAGAATTGAAAAGTAGGCACTTACTTTTGAAAATGGACACTTATTTTGGAACGAAGGGAGTACTATTTTGTGGAATTGCCTAACGCACACCCATTCATTTTCAATCATGGGCCAACAATTGGGATGCATAGAGCCTATTGATCCATCACTTGTGTCATATATGGCCTAATAACCGAACTGTTTGGAGATCTCAGAAATGGGATTTTCTTCTTGAATGTTGTTTGTTTTGCCAAAAACCCGACTCACTTGTGATTTCTGCAACACTTTATACGTACTGACCTTTTCGGGGTTTTGGATCAGGGGTAAGACGAGTTGTGATTGTGGAAGCTGGAAGCAAACGAGTAGAAGGTATCATTTCCCTAAGCGACGTATTCAGGTTTCTGCTAAGCTAATGGATGCAGCAGCGCAGCAGCAACCGTAATTCTTCACGATTCTTTCAAGCATACAATTGCAATTTGGCGTCACGTTTAGGTCAAGCGTATTAGTCTCAAGAGCAAAGACGTGTAAATCCCAATTGTGTTCTGTTTGTTAATCACCGTTACTCGACTTGCGTTTGTGCCTTGCTAGTTTTGCCACTTTGTGGAATGCAGTTTTATCTGGCAACTTTTGTGTTTGTTACAGAAAAAACTTGTGAAATGGTGGTTGTATGAGCTGAAATTGTTGGTTTCATTCATTTATTGGTGAAAAAAGAACTTTTGTACAATGGGATGTGTTCTTTTTGGATAACCATAGGTATCCGGTACAACTTCGGGCCATCTTGCATGCGCCTTGAATGATTGCGCTTGGTATTTAGGCGAGACTCGACAGGATTGAACGGGCGAGAGTGAGGTAGACGGGTGAAATAATTGTGCAAGGTTTAGGATTTTTATTTGACAGGGGTAGTTTAGTAATTTAATAATATTGTCGCATGTCTTTGATTTTTATTAAATAAATGTTCTTTGTCTCATTCGGTCTTGTGTTGTTCATGTCTAATGTCGCATCAAGTATGGGACAACAAGTTCTTGTTTTATCATATCTTGTTTTGTTCCACGTACCAAACGCATCTTAAAGTTAACTGTTAGACGAGCCTCAAGCAGCCATGAGGAGCAAACTTAAGGTCATACTAGTTTTGCTACCTTAAGGGTTAACCAAGTGTTGGGATACCTTATGAATGTTGTTATTATTCACTTGCATCACGTACGGCCTCGTTCAAACCCATGCGGGCTGGGGAGACTCGGACCGACAATATTTATGAGTGAAACACATTTGCCTTTTGTGGTGGTTATATTTAGAGATGTAGCTATCCGGGTTAAAAGTCACAAAACCGATGAGATAGGTGTAGAACCGGTTAAGTCCGATGGTCCTTTTTGGGTCCTGTCTTTTTAAAGTTTGGATTCCAATCACGCGATCAGATGCAAATTGGATCTGCGTGGTAAGATTCAACAGCCGATCAACAGTTATGCCATATTTTTGGGTCGTGTGGCGAAAATGGTAAATACAATCATGCATATTGTTCAACATTTTGGAATTTTGGATGATCAATCATCACAAAATGGATTCAAAACACTCTTTTCTTCAAAATTATAATAATTAAGTCATGATACTGTTAATTGTAACGAGTACAAAAAATTGTGAAAAAATGTAACAAAAAATTGAAAGCATATTTTGCGAACTTTTTTTTATTAACCTGGATATCCAATCAGCTATGCAAGCCGACTAATCCCAGGACGACCACCTGCCTTGCAGATGGCCCGGAGTCACTGTATTTGAACCTGTGTGGCCACAAGGGGATTTTTATGATAATTCTAGAAAAAGAAGTCTTATGCGTTAATGAATATTTTAAAATATAATATTATTTAGAATTTTGAATATTATTACTGAATTGTTTTGGTAAAAGTTCACAGATCGCATGCGAGCTCGTGTCACGAATGCGAGATGAGGAGTTCACTCCTAAGGTTGCGTCCAACTAGTCAAATCATGTCGTAGGCAAGGTCAAACACGAGCTCGCATTGGTCAACACAAAGTTGAAAGCAGAATCAACCTTGCCAAGTTGCGTTCTAATTTTTGTACGTTTTGTTTATATTTATATTAGTATGTTTCCGTTGTTGATCTGGTAGTAATACTTAGTAGCAAGTGTCGTAACTTCACGTTTATGTTATATTATGTAGGTGTCCGTATCAGTAATGTTTTGGTAACATATCAGTTTAAGAAACGTCCACTACCAAATGAGATGTCAGTTCACTTTCGGAAAATAAATGTAGTAAGCCTTGTTATTATTAAGGACCAATCAGGAACGTTCCAATCAAGTACTTCCAAAACTTTTAATTATATTGCATAAATGAGATAACAGATAATATATGTTAAAGAACAAAATGGGCTAAACCTAAAACGATTAACAATCTGGAACTAAATCTAAACCAATAATAACTTGAACCTTAAACCAAATTAATGGTTTGAAACTAAATAATTTCGGCTATAGTGTTACATAGGTCGATAAAAAGACCCTAACCACATGTAAATTTCGGGACCTTGTTCAAAATCTCATATTTAACATGTTAAGGGACGGCCCTGGGACGAATATACGTCGCTAAACCCTCTGTGCTGAGTTAAGTATTGGTGTTTAAAGGTTGTTTACTAAACGTTTACTTGGTAAGTGTTTACCGGATAAATTTCTTCATCGGATGAACATCACAAGGGCCAAGAATCTTATCAGGTAAGAGTGATGAGAATGGAGAGTCTTACCCGATAAGTGAAGATGACGACTCTTACCCAGGTAAGCACTTACCCGCTAAATTGTTGCATTCAATACGTTTTGACGTACTAAAATCTTACGCATCAAAATAAATTATAGTGTTGACTCCTATCGGTAAGCACTTACCGGGTAAACAACCCCTTGGTTATTCCCCACCATACATACAAGTTATAGAGCTCGTAGTTTAGCACGTGCATCGGTGTTTTAGCAGTGTTCATGTTTTGTATCATATGTTTATTAATTGAAAGAGCTTCCCAGACATGAAGTCACAGTTGATATATAGAAGTGCTTATGATCATTACTTAAGCTTGAATTGCAAGCCTCAAGACTAAGGGTACCGTACCCGTAGTTTGATTAGTGAAGGAAGTCGTAGATGGTTGTGTCGTCGAGCTATAATGCAAGGTTCGGTCCTCGGGTGAACCCCAGAAAGAGCAAAGAAAGAAGCTCTAGTCGAAGCCATATAGGTGGCCTAAATTACAACCGTAGTAGTATTTCATAGCGTAGCATAGAGATGGCCAAAAATTGGTCCCGGGCTGGGCTCAAATCGGTCTCAATCCCGAACACTATTCTTGTAACCGGTCCCGGTCCCGACCAAAAAACCGAGGGCCGGGTAAGTTACTTTGTAACCGGTTATGAGGACCGGGTCCCAGGTCGGGACCAAATCGGTCCTATGTACTTTTTAAAAAAAATTATTTTTTACATAATTTTCTTTTTTTGAAGTTTCATTAAAGAATACAAAAGTGTTTATTCTAATAAACTTGAAAATATGTAATTGGGTCAATTAAATGCACTAAAAAATACGTTTTTTTTTTGCGAGAATACAAGCCGAAGTCACAAATTATAACAAGAATTATGAACTTTCGTGAGTTGGTATCTTCTCTCATACATCATATGACTTATATATAGTGAATAGAGGGTAAATAAGACAAAAACGGTCGAAAATGGGAGAAAAAAAAGTGGTCATATGGCCATTGGGTATCGACAATAAAACAATAATATTTTTGAAAAATCGGACTAGTCTTGGGTCGGGCCCATAACCAGTCACTGGCCAGGTTGGGCCTTCTGTTTTGACGAAAAGTGTAACCGGTCCCGGTTCTCCGTCGGGCCCATTTAGTCATCTCTAGCGTAGCATGATAACTCTCATTTTGAGCATTATTTACCCACCATTTATACGAGTTTTTCTTCTGTTTTAGTTGTGTGACCTCTTTATGTGTCCATGTTTCTTTATTTTATTAATTTATCTTTATTGGAGTTGTTGAGAATATTTTATGGTCATATGCATCATTTTTGGATTAAATGTTGTATTGCAAAATATGCCCACTGTGGGGGGCAACGTTAGTTTGAGGACATCTCAAAATAACATTTTCGAATGTAATCTTATGTTTATTTCAGCTACATTAAGACAATATTGAAGGGCAAACTCTTGATACAAAGGAAGCTGAATTACAAATATTTCTCAAGATTTGGAGATATCACAAGATCTGTTGAATAGTGCCTTTTTGTCTAAAAGATTACAGAGGTCTTTTCCATTGGTAAAGTTCATCATCTTCCACCTGTAAATAAGAGGCTTTGGTGCAAAGCATTAGAGGAGAGCTCCAGCAGTGTAGGAGTTTCAGCTATTTCGTTTTACATTTTACAGTTGTAGTTGTAATTTATTTTCAAGTCTTTACCTTTCAGTATCTGCCTACTGTGAAGACATTGTGGGCACAGTTTGTATTTTATTTTCAATGCAATTATTTTTTTTAAGTATTTCTCTTCTTCTACTATATCCTTTAATTATTAGCTAAGCACGGTTTAGGTGTTAATGTGGGTGTGACTCGAACTTAAGGCTAGTAGGTAACACTTTGGTGTTGTCATTATTGCTAATTCTTTTGTTATAAAAATAAAAATCGTGACTTTGTCACCTTCGATGAGATTTCAATTAAAACTATGATTTCAAGTTAAACAAACTACTAACATTAGTCAAACATTTGTAGAGTACATTGCAACACCATTCTCGAGCATAGTTAGAGAATTTAAATTAGCATACGATTCTAAGATTGTTGTCAACTTCTTTTAAAAACTTTTATTTTTAATGAGTAGTTGTCACACACATTTTCCTAAAATCGGTTTAGAAGAGGACTTCAAATTTTAATTTATAACATTCATTTTGAAGATGATATTATCGCCACCGTGCAACGCGTGGTTGCAACACTAGTTGAGGTAGTAATTCAAAATGAAAACATATCATTCCACGTTTTGTGTATCGAGTCTCATGGAGATATTGGGGCATTTAATTGGTTTTCTCGGAACTTTAGAGATGAAGGGAACACACCATCAACTGATTTTGCCACATAATTTCTTGTTCCTCCTTATATTATTTCTCTAATCTCCTTCGGTTTGCTTTTAATTGCAGACAAAAGAGTAGATAGGGAGATCGAGAAAGTAGAAGTAAAAAACCCATAATTATTGCTTCATATCTTTCTATAGATGCATAGAAAGATAGAGAGAGGCGTACCGCCAGCTATACTATCAATCCATAATTTATTATCAGGATCGAGAAATGGAGAAGAGCAAAGAAATTTATGATAGAGAAATGTAGAAGATGAAGAGTAAAAAAGTTAATGATAGAGAGATATAGATGAGAAGGAATTGTAATGGTAAAAGATGAAGAGTAAAAGCTTTAGATTAAACATAAAACCTAAAATAAAAGGGAAAATTGAGAAGAAGAAAAAAAGGAAGACATGAATACTGAATATGAGGAGGCAACACGTCAACATTGTATGTTTCTGGTTTTATATATATATATATATATATATATATATATATATATATATATATAGGGGAGCGATCAAATGTGAACCACTTAATTTGTACAAACCGTGCAAACCGCATTTAACCAATCATAATTTTTTATTTTGTTTATTTTTTTTTGTAATTATGAGACGTTGATTAATCATTTTTATTGTAGAGGGCGTTAATCATAGATATTATCATCTTCATTATTTTAATTTTAAAGAAATACATGAAGCAGTTTCATTAATTTTAGAAAAATACATGAAACAGTTTCATTAAGTATTATATGAAACAATTTCACAACCATATATGAAACAAATTCATCAAAAAAGTATTATATGAAACAATTTCACAAGATTAAACAA